ATGCGTGCGCGCGATGTTTAGGCGATGGGGCCCATCTGGAAAACGATACCCCTCGTTCCGTGTGGCTGCTGCAAACGTTCACGCGTGCTCGCGGCGCTGAAGCGAGAGCTACAGCATGAACACGACCTCCTCCATGGTTGTATCTAGCCTATTGGACGAACGTGCGAGGTGCTACGTCTAGAGCTACATCTGAAAGCCTGCGAGCTTCTGGACCATACATAATGAGGGAATCTAAGGCGAAATTTCTAGCGGCCCACCCTACCGACACGTCGTTGATTGCGACCCTATCGATGGGAAAAAGTGGGTGGAGGGACGTGTGTGTGGGGGGAGAGAGAGAGAGAGAGAGAGAGAGAGAGAGAAAGAGAGAGAGAGAGAGGCAAACACAACGACACAGAGACAGAAAGAGAGAGAGAGAGAGAGAGAGAGAAACAGAGAGAGAGAGAGAGAGACAGAGAGACAGAGAAAGAGAGAGAGAGAGAGATAGAACGGGAGACAGCGAGAAAACGAGAGAGAGAGAGAGAGAACGAGAGAGAGAGAGAGAGAGAAAGAGATAGTCAGAGAAAGAGAGAGCGAGACGGAGTGTGTGAGAGAGGGAGAGAGAGAGAGAGAAAACAAAAAAAAACAAGAGAGAGGGTGCACGGGAGGGAGGGAGGGGGAAGGAGGGAGGGATGGAGGAAAGAATGGAGGGAGGGATGGTTGGAGGGAGAGGAGGGCGGATGTGAAGTAGGGGAAGGAGCAGACCGAGGAGGGAGGAGGAGGCAGAAAGGAGGAGCAGAGGGAGGAGGAAGGGGGTGGGAGGAGGAGGGATTACGATGATGAGGAGGAGGAGTCAGAGGAGTCGGAGGAGGAGGGGGGCTGCTGCTCGACGACGGCTTCGCGCGTGACGTGCTCGATGTGTCACTCTGCCATGCTGTCAGCAGGATGGCGCGCGTGGCCATGAGCTGCCCACTACCGCCTCTGACCTAAGACCAGGCAATCAATACAAAAGAATATGATAATTGGGCGAGGGCCCATGGCAACGTGCTGCAACACCATTGGCAGAGGATTCACTTCACAAGGGGCAAGTATTAAACGATACACCGCTGTGGCAAGAAGATCGTGTCAGGTGGCGTCGAGCGCCGAACACGTACCACGCATGAGAGGATCTAAGTGCAGCCTTAGGGAGGGAAGGGGCCCGACGGAGCAAAAGAAGGGCGACTGGGGGCGACCCACGAAGTGAAGGCCTGCTTAGATCGCTGATGAACCAGTGAGACAAACGAGCAACCATACACCTGAACTGCCACAGCGAAAGGGGAAGCCTGCCAAGCAGAATGTGTGAGACATACAGGGGGGGGCAGAGGGCCCTTTGTGAGACCACGGAGGGCAGGAGCAGGTGAAGTCTGACAACGCATAAGTGAATTCTCAAATAGACAGGACAGTCAATCCGGCTCTCACGAACTGCGACGTGGGCAATATGGCCATGTAGACCTCTGAATGGGGAGTGCCAGGGGTGGGCAACGTAGACAGAGGCCAGGCAGGCGGCAGAAGCGGAGAAGCGACTGGGGGCGAACCACGACAAGGGAGCCTAGTCCGCGAACGACACAGGCGCACACAACACGATGCCCAAGCGGAACAGAAACAAGGCATGTTGAATGAGAGAGTGCGGAAAACTTGACACCCAAAGTACTGCAGCCTGCTCTCACGAACTGCACCGTGGGCGACAGAGGCCATGCAGCAGAATGGAAAGCGAATGGGGGCGACCCACAGCGAGGGAGCCTTCCTGCGATCGACAGTGGCGCACACAGCAGGATACCTGAGCGATGCAAACACCTGACAATACCTACGCGGAGCGAAGCCCTGGGCAGATGCACGCGCGACTAGTGAGCGTGCTGAGAATACGCATCGCAGGAAGGCACGCGCGGCGGAAAGCCGTGTATACCGACTTGTGGTGGCAAGTCTGACTGTGAGTCAACCTGAAATGTGCCAGTGGGCTGAACCGCTACAGAGCTGACAGAAGAGAGCTGGTCGCCTTCGCGACACGGTGCTCCTCGCAGTGGTCAGCGACACGCTTACACTGAAACGCTACACAAGCAGGGAGCGGTGTATCGAGGACTCCTACCGATCGGGTGCGAAGCGCCTCGAGAAGAGGAGCGGCTGGGGGGGTCCTGGTCTTCCCCACTCACGCAAAAGCCTGAAAAGTACGAGTTGCGCGCGGGACTGGGCGCCTTCGAACGGGGCATCGCAGAGAAGGACCGAGCACGGTGGCGAAGAGCGTGCTCCATGCGACCCCACTTCCAAGAAGGGCCACACCTCTCAAAGTACAGTCGGGGCGCTCAAAAAGGAACCCTTTTCGTTGGGGAGGGGCTCCGTGTTCCTTAATTGTTTCACAGCTTGCCTCAGGTTTTCCTTATGTATTCGATCGGAAATCGAAGTGTAACTTATGGAAAAAAAGGGGCCTCGTTCCTTATTTAGGGTTCCTTAGGTCAAGGCCCCGACTGTAGTGGCGAAGAGCGTGCTCCATGCGACCCCACTTCCCAGAGGGGCCACACCTCTCAGAGTATGGCCGACGAGCGGAACGCACCACCGCACAGGCGGGTTGGCCGAGCGGGGGGCGCCGGCTGCGCGGGCGGCCCTGGCCGTGAGGCGGCCGACCTCTCCAGCCCGTGCTCTGCGGGCGGCCCTGGCGCGCCCACAGCAGCCTCGGCGGATGGGGCGGGCGGCACGCCGGATGTGGTCCTCCGCGCGCTGCACCTGCCCTACAGTCGGGGCGCTGAAGAAGGAACCCTTTTCGTTGGGGAGGGGCTCGGTGTTCCTTGATTGTTTCACAGCTTGCCTCAGGTTTTCAGGTTTTCGATGGGGAATCGAAGTTTAACTGATGGGAAAAAAGGGCCTCGTTCCTTATTTGGGGTTCCTTAGGTCAACGCCCCGACTGTACCCCAGCGGCTCCAGGAACTGCAGCAGGAGCCTGCGGGAGTGCGAAGGAGGGCAGCGCGGGCGGCCACGCAGGTGGGGAGGAGGTGACTGCAGTTTTGCGCCCACGAGGCGTGCCAGAACAGGTGGTCCCGAAGGTGGCGGAACGCAAGCCGCGGGCGCGGCAGTTGACGGGGATGACGCAGAAGCTGTAGCCGCCGCATCGCGCCTGGAGAGCCTTGGCGCGCCAGCAACCAGAGCAGGGGAGGCCATCGCGCACACGACCGCAGGCCAGCTGCGACGGCTGCCCAGCCGCGACGACCAGCGAGGGGCCGCCAGAGGCGTGCACGAGGTGCTCGTACTGCGCGGGCTTGGGCCCTCCGCGTACTGCGCGCGGCGCGCAGCAGCCGACCGCGGCGGGCGGCGACGGCGCCCGGCAGCGGCGGCGGGCGCCTTCATCGCACGGCCGAAGGGGAGAGGCGCGGAGGCGGCGCGCGGGAGGCGGCGCGCGGGATGCGCCGGTGGCGCTGGCTGACGGGGGCCGAAGCTCGTGCCAGCTGGCGCCAACGAGGGGGGGGAGGAGGGAGGAGGGAAGAGGAGAGCTGTTCGTCGCTCTTGGCATCGAGGTCGGGGGGCTCGTCGTCGTGCGGTGCGCGAGGATGATGGATGCGTGGCGGTGGGGGCGGGGCCGGGCTCGGTGACGCCAGCGGGGCGTACGTTCGGCGGTCTCGAGGGGGCTCCGAGAGGCTGTGGCAAGGTTGGTGCCACCTTAGAGGTGCTGTGGCTTGGGCAGTCGTCGACTTCCACACGCCCATTTGTCTTTTTCTCCCACGCCTCTCGCTTCCCTGTCCTCACCCTGTTTCCTCCCCCCCCTCCGTCCTCTATCCGCCCTCCCTCTGCGCTCCTCTTTCCTCCCTGCTCCTTCGTTGTCGTCCTCCTGCGCAATCCTCCTCCTCCTGGAGAGGGAGGAGGAGGAGAAAGGCTAGGATGTGATGATACTGATGGTGATGATGATGGAGATGGTGATGGTGATAGAAATGATGATGGTGATGGTGGTGGTGGTGATGGTGATGGTGATGGTGATGGTGGTGATGGTGATGATAGTGTTGATGGTGATGCTGGTTATGATGATGCTGATGCTGATGCTGATGATGATGCTGATGAGGATGCTGATGATGACGATGACGATGACGATGATGATACTGATGATGCTGATGCTGATGCTGATGCTGATGATGATGACGATAATGATGATTATGGTGATGCGTGTGACGATGCTGATGCTGATGATGAGGGTGATGAATCTGATGATGCTGATGATGATGATGAAATGGCTGACCATGATGCTGCTGCTGATGATGATGACGACGACGATGATGATTATGATGGTGATGCTGCTGATGATGGTGATGATGGTGATGCTGATGATGAGGATGATTACGACGATGATCACGGTGATGTTGACAATTAGCTGAATTAATTTATTATGCTGTTGCTGTTGCTGTTGCTGTTGATGCAGATGAACGCGACGGGCATGACGATGAGTATGAGTAGGAGTACACGTGCAAGTATGAGCATGACTATGAGTATGAGCATGACGATGGTGATGGTGAGGGAGGTGAAGGATGATGATGATGATGATGATGATGATGATGATGATGATGATGAGGATGATGATGATGGTGATGATGATGATGATGCTGATGATGATGTTGATGATGATGATGATGACGATGATGATGATGATGATGATGATGATGCTGCTGCTGCTGATGATGATGATGATGATGATGATGATGATGATGATGATGATGATGATGACGATGATGATGATGATGATGATGATGATGATGAGGAGGAGAGGAGGAGGAGGAGGAGAGGATGATGATGATGATGATGATGATGATGATGATGATGATGATGATGATGATGATGATGATGATGATGATGATGATGATGATGATGATGATGATGATGATGATGATGATGATGATGATGATGATGGAGGAGGAGGAGGAGGAGGAGGAGGAGGAGGAGGAGGAGGAGGAGGAGGAGGGGGAGGAGGAGGAGGAAGAGGATGCCGAGGAGGGAGGAGGTGGCAGAGGCGGTGGCGGCGGATACAGAAAACAACCCTCTCTTGCTTTCCACGGCCCGATGCAGGAATCGGTTTCGACCAGGCCCCGATAGGAGGGAGGAGCCCCGCCCCCGCCCCCTGGCGTCTGGGCGGCGCCCCCCGCGACCCGCTGGCCTGGCTCCCCCTGGCGATCAGGGGTGCTCGACCCCATCGTGTTCCTGCGAGACTTGGAGCCGCGCCGGCGTGGGCCTTCCTTGGAGGAGGGAGGCGCCGCAGGAGGCGGGGGAGAGCCTCCGATCTCCAGCCCGGCCCCGACTGTCCAGGAGGGCAACCAGTACCATCACCCAGGTCTAGCAATGTTTTGGACGCTTCGGATGAGGAAGAGGATTCGGAGGATGAGGACCAGCGCATCTGACTGAGTTCGGTTGGTTGCCTTACTGTATCTCCCCAAGCGCTGCTTGCGCTTCCGTGATCATGGAGTCGATGGCGATGGGGTCGGCAAAGCAGGGGCTGCTCTTGATGCCTCCCTCGTGTTGGCGGTGTATGTATACATCTACTTGTGTATGTGCGAGTATACGTAGCACCCCGCAGTTGCGGATTAGAGGGAGGGCGGCCGGGACGTTGGCAGACTGAGGCGCTGATGTTCTCTAATCCAATCAGTGTGGGTGGGTCGCGGACGGTTCGCGGCGGGTCGCGGGTGGGTCGCGGGTGGGTCGCGGGTGGGTCGCGTCGGAATTTGGGCCGGTTCCGTCTCCAGTCAGATCCGTTTTGGATCCGAATTGCATGCCATCGTTTTTGTTTTTTGCTTAAAAAACAGAAAAGGAGGACGGGGACAAACGGACGGCTAATAAGAAAGATATGGTAGTATGATCGTGGAGTGTCAGAGATACAACGAATCAGGGTGAACAGGATCACAAGGATAAGGAGGAAGAGACTGCGATGAGGATGAAGACCAGGAGGGGGACGGTGACGACGAGAGGGCGTGGAATTGAAGAAAGTGGGAGTGGAGGGAATGACGGGCCAGAATTGAAGGCGCAAGCGGGGGTGATGGATGTGTGTGGTGGTGGGGGAACACCATAATATTGTATAAATATATGTGCATATGTATACGTATATTTATATCCATGTATATCTAAACATATAGGTATATGAACATCTATAGACGCGCGTGTGAGTATATACGTACCTGGATGTCTATACGCGTCTATTTATATGATGACATACCTTAAGACATGCACACGGTCATATTTGTGTATGACGCATTGTTTGTCATTTCGGCTTTCGGTGGTCGTCCAGATTGTCGGGGGGTTGGAGAGCGATTGTGAAGCATTCTCCGGAAAGTCGGACGGGATGTGGGGGAGGGCATGGGAGGGAGCAGGAGGAGAGGGGGGAGGGATGAGAGAGGATAGTGATGAGGGGGGAGGGGGCAGGGAGAGGGGGAGACTTTGGAAGCTTGGAAGACCAGGCTGGCGCGGTTCTCGCATCACTTCTCCCCCACACTGCCTCCTCTGGGTCGTTTCCTGCTTCTGTCCTCCCTCCTTCCCCTCCCTCCTTGTCTCCTTCCGCCCATCTTCCACCTTTCGCTTTCTCCTTTTTTTCCGCCCCCACTTCCTGCCCCCAAACCCTGACCCTGCCGTCTCCTGGGGAGGAGGGGTACATTGACGGAGGAAGAGCATGAGAAGGTGGGGGTGGATGAGGATGGGAGAGAGCAGGAGGGGGAGGATGCAGTGGGGAGAGCAGGAGGACGACAACCGACAGTGTCACAGGTGAAACTGGAGGAAGAGGAAACGCCTGCTTCGGGGATAGGGTCGAGAGGTCTGGGGCCCGCGTCGTTCACAAAAGCATTACGCTGGAGGTCTGGGGAGCAATCAAACATTTTTTCACGGGATCCCGAAGGTTCTATCCTTTCGGGGGTTTGGGTTCCGGAGGGATGCGGAGGAGGGCGGGGGCAGAGGATAGAGGGACGGGGTGGGGTAGGGGGCGGCAGGGTAGTCCGGGGGGGAGGTACGGGAGGGAGTGAGGCGAGCAGGGGAGGTGGGCAGGGAGCGGGTGGAGGAAGGTGAGGTGCTGAACGAAGGAGGAAGAGAGGGAGAAAAAGAGGGAGCGATAGCTCGAGTCAGACCCCGAATCATCAGAGCTGGTGGTGGTCAGGAGTGGCTCGTGATTCGTGCCTCGGGGGCCAAGAGTTGCCCCAAATTGGAGTGATCCCGGAGAAGTCGGGCGCCGAACCACTCCCGAATCATCGGGGATGGTGGTGGTCAGGTGTCACTCCTGGTTCGCGCCTCGGGGGCCCAAGCCGAAGTCACCTCGGACAGGAGATCCCGGATAACTCGGACGTCCAGTCTAGAGGACGTTTTAGATCTCATGTAGAGCATTTGCGTCAAACTGGCCGGCACCGCTGTACTAGAAGAGAGCAGGGAGGGAGCGAAAGAGAAATGAAAGCCAGCAGTCAAGCGCGGGGAAAGAAAGACGGGAGGGAGCGAAGGAGGCAGCATGAGGGCGCGGCAGGGTCCTCTGAGCCGGGGCCAGGAGCCCGCCCAGCTGGAGGAGCACCTGGCGGTGAACGTGGTCGGCGTGCTGAACGGCACGCGGAGCTTTGTGCGCCACGTGCGCTCCAGGGAAGGCGGCCGGCGTCACCCGAGGTGACCCCCACGCATCTCCGAGTCTCCGACGACGTGACGATGTCAACTGGCGCCCCTTTTCTTCGATTTCGGCCCTCGGGGGCCTCTCATCGGGCTGGGGGAGTGGCCGGGGGCCACGGATGGGAAACATCATACCGGAGGATGTCGTGGGGGCGGCCCTGGCCTAAGGTGGCCTCAGCTTTCCCAGGAGGGAGGGCCCTGATTGCCTCCGGGACGGACTGCCATCCTCACGATGCCCGGGAGGGCCCAGGGGTTCGAAGAAGGGGCGGAAAAAGCTTGGCACCCAGACATGCGATGTCTTGATCTTTTCAATATGCTGTCCCTGGAAGTCCCGACCCTTTCCCCAGGGCCAGCTTTTTATCCCGAGTCGTTTTTTGACGGCCTGGCGAGGGCCCCGGGAGGCCAAAAATGGCCGACCACCTCCCGTCGCGATATTTTCACGACGCGAGCACGTCTGTGCACGTGGGGCCCAGCTGGCCTCCCGAGCAGGGTGCTTCCCTGCGATCCGACGTTGACGTTGCGAAACAGATACAACCACGTGACGAAACACACGACAGGTCCTTTGTGCGGCACTTTTCGAGCCAGATCGATCTGTGACGGCCACGGGGCCCGAAATCGGGCGAAAACGTCCTGTGTGAGAAGGTTGCGACGCCCAGATCTCAAGGGTGCGGAAAGCCTGGGGCACGTTGGTCGGTACCCACCAAACCAAGCCCCTCCACCCCAACCCGAAGGCTCCAAGTTGCCCTCCATTCCCAGTGGGGGGGGGCATCTGGGAACAGTGACAAAAACACGATGGGACTCGTACGCCTCCCAACCCGACACTTGGGACGTCGGGTTGGGCTGGGGTGGTCTGGTAATGAGATAGTCAAAGTTGGGCTGCACTGGTTCCCCCTGGCCACGGCAGCCTCCGAGAGGCGGCGGGGTGCTCCTCAACATCTCCTCCGGGGCGGCCAGGAGCGGCTACGCGGGCTGGGGCCCCTACTGCGCGGGTAAGGCGGCGGTCGACCGCCTCTCCGAGTGCGCACAGCTGGAGGAGGAGCCGAGGAGAAGGCAGAAACTGCGACCGCCAGAGGAGGGCCAGGCATCCGCGCCGCTGCTCCCCCCTCGCCACCACGGCTGGACTCGCCTCGGGGTCCTGGCCCGACCGCGCCCCGGGAGAGGTCCGTGCCCCGGCTCTCTCTCTCTCTCCAGGCACGTGCCAGGCCTGCACGGCCCGGCACGCGCAGCCCACCGGAGGCCCCGGGACCTGGCACTACGGTGCAGTCCGGCCAGGGTCCCGGGCTGCTTACGGCTGTGCAGTCTCACCTGTCCAGAGATTCGGGGGCCCCCAAACGGGGTGGTGACCACACCATGCGGTGAGTCGGTGGGGATTCGGGGTCACCGCACGGTTTTGGGACTCGAGGCCCTCTTCGAGGACGTCTCGGGCGACAGGGGCCTCCGGGGTCCCAAGAAAAAAAGCATTGGCCGCTTAGATCACGGTGCGAGTTAGTTTCACCGACAGACTGCACGTGTCTCTTGGTATGTGAACGCTTGCCTCATTAAAACAAACAGCTGGGCAGTTTCACCAGTGAAGTCGGCAGTGTCTGTGCTGTGCAGACAGTTGCGCGTCAACTTCGAAGTTGCATCTCTGGCGCGCACAGAGACTGGTCCTTGGAGTAGTGGTATCGGCACCGTTTCCCTTGTGATCCCAAGAAGCATCATGTTTAGGAGCTCTGCGTGGATTGCTCGGATCTGCGCTGAGCCCCCTGTCGGCGCCCCTGGCGCCGCCCTTGGCGCGCTCCGCGCGCCAGGGAGAGGGGTCCAGCGCGGATCCAAGGAATCTGCGCGGACCTCCGAGAGATACTGTTGCTGCAGTTCTGCCTTCCTCCGCAGGAGGCGTCTGGCCTCCGGGTGCACTCCGTGGCCCCGGGCATCATCGACACGGGGATGCAGGAGCGGATACGGTCCTGCACGGAGCAGGAGTTCCCGCAGGTCGCCAAGTTCCACAAGGTTCTCCGGGGAACGAGCATGTACAGCCACGGCGCTGAGATAAGGACCATTTAGGACGCAGAAGGCGCTCCAGGTGGTCAAGAGAGCCCCATCGTTCCTTGTTCAGCGTTCCTTATAACCGCACGATCTTTAGATGTTCTTTGGGGGGGCCTCCCTGGAGCCCACCTGTTGGATCATATTCGACCCAAGTCGACTACAGCTTGGCTCTGGTTCAACTCTAGTTCGACTCAAGTTCAACTCAAGTCGACGGACGTTCGACGTGGTATCGACGCGTGAGTGGAGCGAGTGCCTCTAGGAAGGTCCTCAGAACGACCATCCAATATGCCGATTCCGCTCTCCCCCAGACCTCTCCTGGGGTGGGTTCTGACCAGAACTCCAAGGCGAATCGAGCCTTGGCGACGAGGGCCCCACCTAAAGAGGTTCCAAAGGGCGAAGACGAGGGAGGGGCATTGGTGCATTGGTGCATTGGTGTCGGAAGCGGAAGTCCTCCTCCCTCGACGATCCTCCAACCCTGACTAGGAAGTCCGCTCAGAGTCGGTGCCTGGACCCCTTCCAGGGCGCATCCTGGCTGTTTTTCCTTCCCGGCCCGACCCATTCCCTTGTTCCAAGACGTCCGACGTCATGTTTTCTTTTCCGCAGCGCGGCTCCCTCGAGGTCTCGACCCCTTTCCCGGGACTGGTTTCTAATCCAATTTGTTTTTTGACGGCCTCGGGGCTCCGCGAGGGCTTCCAGACACCGAAAATGAAGACGCGCCTTTTGAGGTCTGGGTCTTTTTGTGTTCGAATTTTTTGCTCGCCAAAATGAAGGGGAACGGACCTTTCATCAGGGCCGGTGTCTCTTCTCGGGCCGTTTCTTGATGGTCCGCCGCCGAAAGCAGCCAAACATTTCCCGTCGTAATTTTCGTTCCGCGACGCGAGCATGTCCGGGGAGGTGAAGGCGGACGGCGCGTTCAATTCCCCAGATCGGGGATTGCTACAGGTGCCCCTGGCCCCAGGTGCTCCCAGCTTTTCGCTCAAGGCTGGAGGCCCTGGGGCTCTCCGGGCCTCGTGAGGGGTGCCCTGGAGGCCTTGGAGATCCTGGGGGCACCTTGGGCCAGGGGCACTCCTAGCAACACCCGACCAGAGCACGTCGCCCGGCACCTGCTGGCGGTGGCGTTCGATGCGAGCTGCCGGCCCGACGCCGTGGTGTGCTCGGTGCCGCCGGAGGCCGCTGGCAGGCCGTGACACCGAGGGCGATGCACGGCAGGGCCGCCCTCTCCCGCGACTCGGAGGAGGGCCATGCGAGACAGCGGCGGCTCTCCCTTGTCGGCCCTGTGTTCTAGACCTCCCTGTGGGAGCCCGAGTTGGTGGGCTCGGAGGATCGCGCCGCATCGCCGATGCCTCGGCGATGCGGTTCGATGTGGGGCCCGATGTTCTTCGCGCCGACGTCGCCGATGCATCGGCGGCGTCGCCGGTGCATCGCTGATGCATGGGCGATGCATCAGCGATGTGGCGCGATCCTCTGACACCAGCTGCTCCGACCCCATCTGAGAGGCCTCTATGCGTGTGCCTCCTGAAGGCTTCTCGTCGCCGCAGCTGAGTCCGCCTTGAAAAGCGAGTCAGTGCGCGGACCCCAGGAGAGGTCGGGGGGCCGATTTTGAGCGCGTTTGGTTGCACGGATTTGGGCTGGGCGGGGGAGCCGCAGCTGTCTCTTTGCTCCGAGACCGAGAGCGGTGCACGGCGGGGCCGCCTCCTCCTGCGGCGCTTCTGCGCGCGAGTTCCTCCTCCCCAGACAGGCTCACGCCGTGACAGAAATCAAGACTGATGTTTGTGGCCATGTTCGGCTTCGGCCCTTCTGCCAGGCACTCGGACTATCAAAAACGACTCGGGATGGAACGACTGCCCTGGGGAAGGGACTTCTGGGAGTCCCGTGAAAAATCTCTGGGGAGAGGGGTGCATGGCGGGGTTGCCTCCTCCCGCGACGCTCCTGCGTACAAGTTCCTCCGCTTCCTCTCATTCTCCTCTTCCTCCTCCTCCTTCTCCTCCTGCTCGAGCCCTTTTGGCTCTGGCGCGTGCTGGCGTCGCGGGTCATCCCCCTGCACGTGCTGGTGCCTCTTCTCTCCCCCCTCGCGCGGCCGCGGGCAGTGGTGGTGGCGGCTCGGCTGGACTGGATTCTCGCTCAGCTCCGTGGCGGACGGCAAGCGAGAGTGAGGCTTGCGACTCATTCTGATTGACTGCTCGTCCAGGCCATGCTTCTACAGTGGGCCTGGGGATGAAGTGTCGGATTCTGATGGACCTGTTCACGATGCTGCTGGGATCTCTTCCTGCGCATGTGGCGGTGGATTTTGGCTATAAGAACAGCAAGGGTGAAACTTATGTATCGATTCGTCTTCGTGCTGCTCCTGGAGATGATCGCCCCCCTGGCGCTGGGGATCCTCCTGGCCCTGGTGGTGGACCCCCTTTGGTGGTGCACATGGGCGTCCTGTCCTGACCCCGATGCGGGTGACGGCGGAGATCACCAAGGAGGCGCTGGTCGTTGTCACGGCGCTCGTTGCGGGGCCACTGGTCCCAATGGGGGCACGTTGGCGAAGAAGCCACGGGTGCAGGCGCCGGAGAGGGTGTTGCATCCATTGTTCTTCTTGATGTTCCTCTGTTGCCTGAGTTCCCATGGCATGCGGATGCACCTGAATTTCAACCTGGTGGCCATGGCGCTACCAGTTATTCTGCGAGAGTTTGGTGCTGGTGCTGGTCTTGCTTTCTCGCCCATGGATCTGGAGGAACGGGGCCAGAGTGACATGATTGATGATCTGAAGTACGAGCATGGCAAGAACAAGGATTCTTTTTGCACCTTGGAGCTAGCGCTGGCTCGGCACAACGGTGCCGACGTTCTTCTGCGATAGCTCGGCGCTGACGTAGTGTCGGCCATTCCTAGTGCAGGGGGGTGGTCAGGCCGCGGTGGCTAGTCTGGCTGATCTGCAGGTGGATCTGATCTTTGTGATGGCCATGATCTTCATAGGGGCTCTGATCGTAAGGGTGGATGCGATGCCAAGCGACACTCATTGTGATATTCTTGGTATGATAATATACGAGCACTGCGACGGGCCTTTGGAGGTTCTTAGCGATGCTGATTATGGCGGTGTTCGCTGTGTCTTTGCGGAGCTGGAGGGTGTGCTATCACAATTTGTGCCTCGATCGATCCATCCTCAAGGTGAGCTTGCTGGTTCTCAGCGTCCTGTTGGAATGGAGCCTCGTCGCGACGAGCTGCCTGATGTGTTTCGTCCTGTTCGTCAGGAGATCCTCTTTCGGTGTGGCGGGGTGATCTTTAGTTCATATGGTGAGCCTAGTCTTGGAAGTGATTGCGCGCAGTATGGATGGCCCCTGAGTTTGTTCATCCATAGGTTCTGCGAGATCGTGGAAGGTGAGCTTCTTGGCCGCGTTGGACATATGTGCGGCGTGAGGCGTGACGGATACCGAGTGTAAGCTCCAGCTGCATTACGGTAATGTGCGTAAGGTGTTCCGTGCCCGAACAGTTCATGAATGTGTCGATCTTGCTGTCCCTCTTCTCGCGGGTGTCTGGCCTCATGGGCTGGGCCCTCCTCCCAGGGTGTGGCGTGGTCTGCCATTGTAGGCCTCTGGGTTTCTCCGCGGAGGGTGTCGAGCAGCTACGTCGTTTTCTTGCCGTAGGCTATCACCCTGGTAATCCTCATACCAAGTAGAGGTCGCGCTCCTGCTCTCACCTGCACATAGGCTACTGGTGCTCCCTTGTTTTTTCTCTCTACCTTTACTATGTGCTTCGGCACGGCGGGCCTTGCATTCCCTAAAATGGCCCCTGTTGCACTTCGGGGCGTCGCCTCCTTCTCCTCCTCCTCCTTCTCCTCCTCCTCCTCCTCCTCCTCCTCCTCCTCCTCCTTCTCATCCACCTTTTGGCTGCAAATGCTTCGGAACCGGTCTCTTCAGCTGCCGATTCTTAGGCTTACGCCACACCGCCGACCCCTTGTTTATGCCAATCTGGGGGTAGTAGAAGCTGCGAAGGGGTGAAAAGGCGAGTGATATTTGTTTGGTGTCTGTTCGCCGCCACCGCCAGAGGGTCTCGGGCAGTTCCGCGGGGAGGTCCGAGCGGACGGCGACACCGCGAGTTTTGGAGCCACTCGGGGGCCGTTTCGGAGCCTTTGGGGTGCTTCTTGGTGGTTCCTTGGGGCGTCTGGGCGGCCTCGTGAGGGCCTCTGGGGGCCTCTTGGGGCACTCTTGTGGCCCCCTGGGGCTCCTGGGGGCAGAACACTAGAGTTTCAACATGTTTGGTCGCCCTCTTGGGCCCCTATTGGTGCCGTCTTGGAGCCTTCTTGGGCCGTCTTGGGGACCTCTTGGGCCGTGTTGGGGCCGTCTTGGGCCGTCTGGAGGCCGTCTTGGGGGCCTCTTGGGCCATCTTGGGGCTGTCTATGGGGCCTCTTTGGCCGTCTTGGAGCGTCGGGAAGCCGAAAAGGCGGAAAAGCAAAAAACATCGAGAAACACCATGGAAAATCAACAATTGTAGACTCTTGGGGCCCTCTTGGGAGGGTTGTTTGGGACCTCGGGGGCCGTCTTGGAGTCCTCTTGGCTCGTCTTGGGGCCATCTTGGGCGTCTTGGAGCGGTCGTTTGGCGTCTCGCGGCCTTCGTGGGCCGTCTTGGAGGTCTTTTGGGGGCTTTTTGGCCCGTCTTGAGGCCCTCTTGGGCCCGGAAAAGCCTCGTGAACCGTTCGTCCCGGCCGTGCTGCGCTCGTCCCGGCCGTACTGCGCTCGTCCCGTACCCCCCCCCTTCCAAATCGACCGGACCGGGCTCCCGGGGGAGGGGTCTGGGGAGGGGGAAGCATCTCACACGCCGATGATCCCCAAGGGGTCGGCGGATTTTTGACCAATGATTGTTGCTCCTTCTGGATTATTTTTGATGTTTTTTCGGTCGACTAATGTTAGTTCTCCTTCCAAATCCGCCTGCAGGACCGTAGGAGGAGATTCCCGACCTGGCCCTAGATGCATGCAAGTTGTTTGCTTGACAGCTGTGTCTCGAGCTCGGATTTCCTTCTTTCCAGGTGGTCCTGTGTGGTGGCCCTGGCCTCTGGCCATCCAGGCCTCCCCTTGCCCCCCTCTCCCCAAAAGGCCTCGGATTGTTCTGTCGTCGTCGTCGCCATATGTTCCTTCTCCTCTTTGTCCTCCTCCTTCTTATCTTTCTCTTCCTCCTCATCCTCCCCTGGCCCGAGCGGCCCCACTGCGTTGAGACAGCTCGAGGCTCGGATCCTGCAGGTGGGGCGCCTGACCCTGGCGTTGCCGCGGGGCCTCGTTCCACGTGCACGAGTGGCCCGTTGCGGGAGTGGCCTGCGCTGCGAGCCAGCGGGGGCCCAGATCCTCTTCTTCCTCCTCCTCCTCCTCCTCCTCCTCCTCCTCCTCCTCGTCCTCCTCCTCCTCCTCCTCCTCCTCCTCCTCCTCCTCCTCCCCCCTCACGTCGTGAATGGGTCGCGGCAAAAGGGTCTCGGAGCCTTCGTGGGCCGTCTTGGAGGCTTCTTGGAGCCTTCTTGGCCTCTTGAGGCCCTCTTGGGCCCGGAAAAGCTCTGGAACCGCTCGTCCCGGCCGTGCTGCGCTCGTCCTGGCCCCCTCCCCCCCTCCAAATCGGCCCTCTTGGGCCGTCTTGAGGACCTCTTGGGCCGTCTTGGGGCCGTCCTGGGCCGTCTGGAGGCCGTCTTGGGGGCCTCTTGGGCCATCTTGGGGCTATCTTTGGGGCCTCTTCGCGCGTCTTGGAGCGTTGGGAAGCGGGAAAGGCGGAAAAGCAAAAAACATCGAAGAACACTATGGAAAATCAAAAATTTTAGACTCTTGGGGCCCTTTTGGGAGACTTGTTTGGGACCTCGGGGGCCGCCTTGGAGACCTCTTGGCCCGTCTTGGGGCCATCTTGGGCGTCTTGGAGGGGTCGTTTGGCGTCTCGGAGCCTGCGTGGGCCGTCTTGGAGGCCTCTTGGAGCCTTCTTGGCCCGTCTTGAGGCCCTCGTGGGCCCGGAAAAGCCCTGGAACCGCTCGTCCCGGCCGTGCTGCGCTCGTCCCGGCCCCCTCCCCCCCTCCAAATCGGCCCTCTTGGGCCGTCTTGGTGACCTCTTGGGCCGTCTTGGGGCCGTCTTGGGCCGTCTGGAGGCCGTCTTGGGAGACTCTTGGGCCATCTTGGGGGTATCTTTGGGGCCTCTTTGCCTGTTTTGGAGCGTCGGGAAGCCGGAAAGGCGGAAAAGCAAAAAACTTTGAAAAACACTTCGGAAAATCAGCAATTTTAGACTCTTTGGGCCCTCTTGGCACATTTGGGACCTCAAGGCTGTCTTGGAGACCTCTTGGCCCGTCATGGGGCCATCGTGGGCGTCTTGGAGCGGTCGTTTGGCGTCTCGGAGCCTTCGTGGGCCGTCTTGGAGGCCTCTTGGGGGCTTCGTGGCCCGTCTTGAGGCCCTCTTGGGCCAGGAAAAGCACCGTGGATCGCTCGTCCCGGACCCCTCCCCACCTCCAAATCGGCCCTCTTGGGCCGTCTTGGGGACCTCTTGGGCCGTCTTGGGGCCGTCTTGGGCCGTCTGGAGGCCGTCTTGGGGGACTCTTGGGCCATCTTGGGGCTATCTTTGGGGCCTCTTTGCCTGTTTTGGAGCGTCGGGAAGCCAGAAAGGCGGAAAAACAAAAAATATCGAAAAACACTTTGGAAAATCCTCAATTTTAGACTCTTTGGGCCTTCTTGGGAAGCTCATTTGGGACCTCAAGGCCGTCTTGGAGACCTCTTGGCCCGTCTTGGGGCCATCGTGGGCGTCTTGGAGCGGTCGTTTGGCGTCTCGGAGCCTTCGTGAGCCGTCTTGGAAGCCTCTTGGGGGCTTCGTGGCC